ATATTGAATATCTAGTTAAATATGATTCTACAAACATCTATTAAATTTGAATTCCACACTTAGAATGAGTGATAAGAGCAAGAGATGTGATGTTTAATGAGAATAGAAAATTCAACTCAGAAGACCTCTACATTGAAAGACAACTAAGAGATTGAGTATCTAAAGAGGTGAAGCTTCTTTATATGAAAGTTCAAGAACCATCAATGACTTCTATCAATCAATTGAAAGAGATTATAGATACTACAGATATTGATGTTTTCCACTCTGAAGAAAATGCTCAAAGCTCTGAAAAAATAGAGAAGAAAAATAATGAAAATAAATACTATAACATTTCAATTCTTTCTACACCAGATTTAACACCAGAGTCAACAGATTCTGATGTTGATATAAATACTCATTCAGCTGTGATAGATAATTGAATATGAAACATTGCATCTAGAGCTCATAATATCAGTACTGATTTTGATGAAGTGAATATCATTGAAGGCCGCAGAACCTGAAAACACAGAGCTGCTCACCTCGTGACAGTTTCAAATGTTAAAAACAATCTGTTATGAATAATCAATGAGACATTCTCTCACTCACACTCAGACTTCTACAAGTCTTAATATTTATTTTCAAATACTGTTTTCACAGTTATTAATAATATAGCTACATCAACAGCATTCATACTGACTTCAAAAATTCATAGATCTCAACTGTCAGATTCATTGAATCACTGAGCAGATGTTGAAAAACACTCATATTATAAAGAATTTGAGAATGCTGTTAAGCAGGAATGAAATAGTATATCTCTGCAGAATATATATGAAATTACTTACAGATTACAGAGAGATATCTTAATTATTTCTCTACAATGAGTATTCATCTATAAATTCAATGATGAAGATTTTCTTTTGAAATACAAAGCTCATATCTATGTATGTGAAGATCTTCAATCAATCACAGATCTCACTATAAAAGCTCACATACTAGCTGTCAGAGATCTCTGAATCTTATTAGCTTTAACAGCAGTATTTAATCTAGATGTGAAACAGCTAGATGAAATCAATGTCTTCATTAATAGTGATATTAATGAGCTAGTATATATGAAACTATTTAATAAATGATGAAAGTTGAAGAGAATGTAAAATTTGAAGTGTATAAATTATATACTAAAACTTCTATAAGTATTATATGAATTACACAGATCATCTCTTCTCTGATTAAATAAATGTAAGAAATCCCGCTTCTTGTAAATTCTTTACCTCTATTTCTATCTCTCATGTAATCAATAGGGCTAGCGGCTCTTGACTACACATAACTATATAGACTAAAGTTCATGAATACTATTCATAACTCAGCTTGAATGCTATTATACATTTAATCTCTACATTTTATCTTTCTACTGTGAATACTTCTAGTTGTTAACAGTATATATCATATCAAGCTGCAAACATCTGAATAACTGCCTGTGAGCACTTATTCTTACATTTCAAGCTCAGTCAGTCAGTAACTGCCTGTTATGACTGAAAGAACTAGAAACTTATATACTTCAATCTCTGCAAACTCTACTGCAGACACTCAGAAGCAGTCACTCAAATCATGAATAGTTCTTATAAAAGAAGTCTTAGAGAACTTATCAATCACTCACAGAATATTATTCTCTATATCTGTAACAGAGAAACTCTTCAATCTCATGAATAAATCAATCTCAGTGAAGAACATTCTTAAGTATCTTCTACAGAATCAAGCTATTTTTCTACAAGAAATACTTACTGTCTGTAAACACTCTTAAACTGAGTTTCTAGACATAATCTGCAGAGATATCTATAAACTGAAAAGAAACTTTCTTAAGCTATAATCACTTAAGATTACTTATTGAACTACAAGCCGGTACCGGGTTCCACAAGTTTATATTTAAAATTGACTCACAAGCCTGACTGTGTGATATGAAAGATGAAGAAGCTGTTATCTATATAATGACAGATCTCTATTACACTGAAGTCAAGAACTGACTGAATTATTTAGAAAATGATTATAAGAGATCTCACTGATCTGTTCTCAAGATCTATCTAGAGAATAAGTTAAGAGACTCTATAAGCTGAATAGAGAACATCTGAGCTGTGATCATCAATATTAGAAAAAGAGATGAGAAATCTGATGAAGACTACTCACAGTGCTTTATAAAATTATGATATAAATTAAGATCTGTGAAAACAGAGCTCTGAAACAAGATCTGAATAAAGATATTTATAAAGAAACTGAATAAAGATATATAGAACAAGTTTATTAAGTAAGACTCTAAGTTCTTAACTCTGAAGAAACTGATAATTCTTATTCATCACTTACAAATCACTGTGAGAGTCACAGATCTGCAGAGAGTGAATCACTGATTAGCACTGTAAGAATTAGAACAATAGAGAACAGATTTATTAGAAAAAGATGATAAAATACAGAGAGATTTATATCTGACTACTGAGTAGAGAGAGAGAGCTTCACAAGCTTCTATGAACAGAGTATATAATAGAGAGATTAAGAAAAAGAGACTCTACTTTATCTATTCTAAATTAGAATATCTTCACACAAACTATTCAGATAAACTAAAATAGAAATTTGAGAAGTCATGAACAGAGTCAGTAACAGTCTTCTTAAGAGTCTTGAAGCTGATATCTGAATCTGTTACTTCTCTGATGAAAATGCTTGCTTATAGAGAGAGACTGTATCATGATACTGCTGTCTCACAAGCATGAAAAGTATTAGTAAACTCAGAATCTCAGGTCACTGTAGTGTTTCTAAAGCTCACAGAGTGAATGAGCTGAATAATGAAAACTGAGAATCTGCTCTTATAATAAGTAGAGTGTGAGAACTCAGACCTGAGAGCTGAGAGACTTATAAGAGTTATCTTTGAATTACAAGATCTCTCTGAAATCTGAAGAAGATTTGCAGAAACTGTGATCATCACAGATATCACAGATAATATGTACTTAGAACTTATATAATTTCAAAGACATAATCTGTATATAGCTGTCTGTAAGTCAGGTTTATACTTCTGATCAGTGTTAACAGACTCACTTACAGAGATAAAATCAGTTAATACTGCAGAGTTTATTAGAGAAGACAAGCTCATCTATATAATAACTTTGTAAGTGTCTGAGAATCTCACAGTCATGAAAACTGAGCTTCAGATATCAGAGAAATATTAAGATCTTGCAGAGATATTCAGCTCAGTAAAGACAGCTGAGCTTTCTTTTCACTGTAAGAAGAATCTGATAATAAATTTGATAGAAGAGTAGAAACTCTTCTGAGAATCAATCTATAAGCTCTTTTATTATAAGACAGAGATCTTATGACTTTATATAAAGAAGAATCTGAAGAATGACTTTATTTAATCTTCACAGATCTCTGCAGAAGTCTCTGTGATATTTATAAAGAAGAAGAATAAAGATTTCAGATTATATATAGACTACTGTAATCTGAACTTCAAGATAATAAAGAGCTGCTATTCTCTATCTCTGATTGAGAATGTGATTAACTGTCTCACAGAAGCTGTTATATTCATACAAGTGAATATAATCAATATATATATACAGCTGTGAATACAGTCTAAGAATAAATGAAAGACTATCTTTAAAACTGCACTGAGATTGTTTAAATATCTAGTAATGTATAACGTGGCGGAACCGAAGCGGTGACTAGTCAGCGGTGACATGTAGAAGTAGTTGTTTGAGAAGCCGTATAAGTGAGCTTGACTATCTTGCTTAAATAGTGAGCTTGTAGGCTACAGAGTTATTGCGAGAATATCACAGATATAATACTTAGTATACTAAGAAGATTGTATAAGACATGCAGTAACTCTTGTATATATTTCAGTAGAAGAAAAATAAATCACTGACTTCTTTCATGAGAAGCCAGCATCTAGCTATTCTATATAGATAATAAGTGAATATCTTCTCTCATTTCATAAGTGAGAATAGCTGAAGTGATATCTCAGCAGTATCTCACTGCTAAGAAAAAGTAATCTGCTGACCTTATATAGAAGCAGAGTTCTCATATTTATTAATCAGATCTTTCTATGATATATCTGAATAATATCATAGAGCAGTTGAAAACCAGTTCAGATAGTCTGCAGAATGAATGAAATTATCTGCATGAAAGTGATAAGTTCTGTGAAACCACAGTGAGACCTTGATGTGACTGAGAGTATAACAATACTCTTTTCTTTAAGAACATAGTTCTGATGCTCTTAAGATTACTGAATTAGAAATTATCTTTGTTATATAGCAATGATTATCAACTGATTGACAGTGTATATACTGTATAAAGAAATAGATGAGTTGTTCTGCTGACTGTGTAGATCTTTCTTTTTTCATCATCATTCAAATCAAATATGTGATAAGTGAGTTTCTTATATATCAATTTGAAATATGAAAAATGTAGTTAATAAGTGACTTACAGATCTTTCAATATATTCTGTTCTATGTATGAAATTCTCTGCAAAAGTGGTGTGTTTTTAGGAACAAAGCTAACAGTAGTAGCAGGATTTTTCAAAAAGATTCTTCTCTTCTGTGAAACATTTTTCTTCTCTTCTTCTCAATTGTAACAGTGAGTGCATGAGAGTATCATTCTTGAAGAACAATCAAGAGCTTATTCTGACATTTTCTAGTAAGTAAATATCTTCATGATGCAGCTGCGGCCTTCATGACTGCAAAGAAAGCCAGGTTGAAGATGAAGACAGTGTCAATGAGCCGCGGGAGCACTGCTCTCATTGTCACATCTTCTCTCTCTTCTGCATCTCTTGCAGCCACAGCAGTAGTAGCTATGCTGTGCAGTGAGATGTTATCTCTTCTGTCAGCTGATGTGTCTGCATTCAGTCTGTTCCCTGCTCTCTTCACCACCGTTGTGACACCGCCCTTCTCTCTCATCAATACAGTGATGTATGACTCTGTGTGATCATTCAGAGAGAAACTCAGAGAGAGCTTGATTCTGGAAATAGTGACTTTGAGAAGTTCAATCTGTAGTTTCTCTCTCACATGCCTGAGCCCTGCTCAGAATGCTGCTAAGTTAAGTCTGCAGAGTTCTGTGATTTCTTCATCTTCTTTCTGTGAGAAGGCTCTGATACAGTCTCTGACCAGCACTGCTACTTGTCTGCACTGTATTAAGCAGCTGAAGAAGAGAGAGATTTTATACATCTATTTCTTCTCTCACTTCTATTATTTCTGTTACATCTGTAACAATGACTTCTGTCTTTCTGTAAGTATTATCTCACAGAAAGATGTTGTGTTAGTTCTGATAAGAAGTTTAGATACTCAAGCAGTACAGAGTGAGAATCTTGAAGCTTCAAGTATTGACAGATTTTATCAAGACTGAGAAGATCTCTCTTACTCATCTGTAAAAGAAGATGAAAGCATAAGTCTTCAAGATAAAAAAACACCTCAGAATGACTGACTCTAAGAAGAAGTCAGCTGATACTGCTGTTAAAAGCACTGTAGAGATTAATCACTGATTAAAGAGAATCTCACTTCAGTTGAAGCAGATAACTGAGATATTTTATAAGTTAATAAGTTAATACTTTCAGCATCTCTTATACTCTTCTGCAGCATGCTTCTCTGCAGTACTGCAGTGCTAACTTCTCAGCAGATAAAGATACTAATATCAGAGACTTCAATGATGAAGAATGAGTTTGATGAGAGTGTGATTATTAATGAGTAGACTCTGAGATTTCTTCTTTTTACTTTTTTCAGCAGGCTGCAGCCTCATTAGATTAGCAGCAGCTCATGAATTGATTAATATTAATCTTTTTATTGATTTTAAATATCTCTTTCTTTTCTTATTAACTGCTTCAGGAATTTTACACTTGTGTAGTCTCATTAAACTTCTAAAAACTCTTTGAGAGAAAATAGAAGAAGAGTGCTATAGAGTTTATAAAATACTGACTCATCACTGTGAGATTATCTCTAAAAAACTCTTTGAGAAAAATAAGAAGTCTTAAGCAGTATTTCTTACTCAATGTCTCTGATGTGTAATAGAGCAGTCTCTACTAGCTGTCTCATAGCTTGCAATCTCTTTCTCAGTATTTTTCAAATACTCAAGCAGTTCTCATGAATTCTCTGACAATGAATAATCTTCTCATTTAACAAGATATTAAAGCTTATTATAATATGTTTACTTATTCAATATTTTCTTCATAAGATATTCAGTATCACTCTCTATCTCAATGTTATTTAGCTGAGACAGCTCTGTCTCAGAGCATTACTTATAGAGCTTCAAATAAAAAATATGAAAAATAGAATGAATTGATTTCAATTCTATAAGTAATTTCAACTTATATATCTGCTTACTCACTACTCTTATTATTAAGAAAGATTCTAGTCATTGCTCACTGAGCTTCTTATACAGTCTTATTATCTTGATATTCTTTACTGAAAGTAGCACTTGATTCTCTATCAAGAACTTCATTGAAAGATGTTTTTAATTATAGTATTTCATCTACTGCTTCTGAGTGTGATGAATGCTTTTCACTGCCTTCTTATAAATTTTATTCAAAAGTTTCAATCTCACTTTTACTTCTAGTACTGAGAGATACTTTATTCTCTGTATCTATCTAACATTCTGACTGTCTATTTCTCTCTTTAAAACATTGTCTGCAATATCACTGAGTAACAAAGAATTATATTTATAATAAGTATAGAAAGAAGATATCTTTAAGATTACATTCTTTACATTGTTATATACAAATTCAGTGATTAGAAGATGTTTGAGTCAATCATTCTAATAATATGAATAGAATACTTGAAGATACTATTCTAGTATCTGATTCTAGTGTTCAGTCTGATCATCAGTCTGTGAATGAAATGTAATACTGAGAAGATGTCTTATTATAAGATGATAGTAAAAAGCTGATCAGTATTTACTGATGAAGAGGAATTCTTGATCTGTTATTAACAATTTCAGAGCACTGTGATCATGAATGATGATATCTAAAAACAGATCAGTCAATTCAAAGGCTTTAATCTTTTTATAGATAGAAATATATCTGATTATCTTTGTGAAGTAATTAATAATGATTAAAATTAAGTTATATTCTTTAACTCTTGTTGACTTCAGTAGATCAACTATGAAATTCATTGATAGATTCTGTTATAGACTCTTTGAAACAGGCAGTGATATTAACTCACTGTATTACTTATACTGTAAGATCTTTATTCTTTAACAGATATTGTAAGTTTCAACATACTCTTTGACATCTATCTAAAGCTTGTCTCAAGTATATTTATATTTTAGAAGCTTCTCAGTCTTCTCTAATCTGAAGTACTCTGTATAAGAATCATTATAATGAATTCTTAATAACTTCTGATGCATCACTCTGCTATGAGAGATGAAGACTGAATCATTCAGCAGTAGAAGTTCACATTCTTCTAGTTATCAGTAACTTGATTTCTTAGCAGCACTGTTCTGCTCAGAATCTGTCTTTTTCAAGTTCAAACTGAACTCTTTCTTCTTCAACTTCTGAATTTAAGCTGCAGTAGAGATATCTCTCTTCTATAACTTATCAATGAATTTCAAAAGTAGTTGAGTTGAAAGATTGTAGACTGTTTCATTCTTTGTTAATTCAATGATTGTAAAATATGATATGAGAAGCTTATAATCTTCAGTATTAGTTCTCTACAGAGATCTGAGTTCTCTTTCATCTTCTATACTGAGTCATACAGCTGTCTCTTCAGCACTGTTTCTAAGCTTTAGAGAACTTCAACTCTCTGCAGCCAGCTTCTTCTACAGTGATGACAGAGATTCTTTTATAGAATTCTTCTCTGCATTAACAATATTATAATTGAGCTGTTTAAACAGTATATCAGCAGGGTTAAACTGATCTGAACAGTATTGAATATAGAAATCATACTCTGAAAGCAGCTTCACTCACCTGACTTGATATTCTGTCAAGCTCTTTGTTGTCAAGAAGTAATGCAGATTTGTATAATCAGTGAGAACTTGCACTGAGTACTTACTATTCTGAAGATAATGTTATCAGATCTTAAAGAATTTGACAATTACTAATATCTTCTGATCATGAGTATCATATCTTCTCTGCATGAGTGATAACTTCTTGAAGAAGAAGATCACTGATCTTTATTTACAGTGTCTTATAGACTCTGTGAAAAAGTCTTCTCTCATAAACAATTCATTATCTGTTTCTTCAGAGATAATTATTCTCTGATTCCTTCAATGTTGAAAGATCTCTGATATTAACTGTGAAAAGATTTCACAGATCTCATTTCTGAATACATCAGTCTCACACTGACTGAATAAGTCAGAGTTAAAGTGATTCAGTATTGTAATATCTGTGAAAGCTTGTTTCAATTCTGCAAACACCTGCACAGTGTCTTGAGTGAGAATAAATAGTCTTATTTTTCTGTCTTTCACACTTCTCTTTAACAGATCTGTAAGAGAGACAGTAATCTGTGAATATATATAGATGAATCATCTGTAGAAATTCACAAATTCTAGAAACATCTGCATCTCACAGTATGTTTACAACACTGATCAGTTCTCAATAATGAAGACTCAGCTTCTGTTCATTGAAATACTGTTTATCTTAATAATATAATCTAAGAAATCAATCTTCTGCATGTAGAACAAGCATTTTTCAGTGTTTACATAGAGTTAATACTGTCTCAAGTGACTCAACACTTCTCAAATATAAGTATTGTGTTCTTTCTCTGTTTTTGAGAAGATTAGAATGTTATTCAAGTATACTATGCAGGAGATGTTGACAAGGCTCTGCAGCATCTCATTTATATAGGTCTGAAAGATGGCTGGAGTATTACAAAGATTAAAAGATAAAACAAGATATTCAAAATTACTGTACTTGATATGAAAAGCTGTTTTTCAAATGTTATCTTCATTAATTCTGATTCTATGATAGGTATTCTGTATATCAATCTTTGAGAATATCTTCACTTCAGATAATTGATTGATCATCTCATCAATTAACAGTAATAAATAGTAATTCTTAACTATTATCTTGTTAAGGCCTCTGTAGTCTATGCATAGACATAGTCTATCATTCTTCTTAAGTACAAATAGTATAGACATCTCTGTCAGACTCTTTGATAAATATATTCAGTTCTTTGATTGCACTTCTTTAAGATATTTACACAGAACATTCAACTTCTTTACAGACAAGTTGTAAAGAGATCTGTACAGCACTGTTACACTGTCTTTAAGATGAATCTTATATTATATCTTGATATCAGAAAACTTCACTGCTTCTCTTTTCAAAAAGATATTCTTAAAATCTGTAAAGAGACATTGTATACATTCATCTTCAATGACAGATACTGCTGCTAATCTTACAGTGTGAGTGATAACTTCTTCATCTGTCTTCAAGTTTCAATCACCTGCTACACAGTATATTGACTTAATCTTTTTCTCAAGATTCTTTCAATGAAACTCTTCAGATTTCTCTATCACTGTCTCTTCATCAGTGAGATGATACTGCCACATCTGAGTGACTCAGTCAATGAGAGAATTGTTTTCTCTCAATTATGAGAGATCTAGAATGATGTTCTCATCTATAATATTAACTGTATGAAGAAGCAGACTGCTCTTCTTAAAGATTTCTTCTGAGTCTGTAGTCACACACTTTGCTTGAATTATGTTAAAACAGTGACATTTCATTTCATCTGTAAATTTTATATAATCTGATAAATCTATCTTCTTTCAACTCTTCATCAAAGAAAAGAAATAGAATATAAAGTTAGTATCTGCTCTGAAGTTGAGTAGACATCTCACTGATATCTTCTCATTTGAGATATACATTATGATTGTAACATGAACTCAGAGATATGAGAATTATCAATTCTTTTCTTTCTCTTCTTTATCTTTCACAGATATGTTTGTCAGAAGAGAAGTTGACTTTGAGAAGATATCTTCTTAGTTTCTTTTCTTCTTCAGCTTCTTGTAATCACTGATATAGTGATCATCAGCTCTGCAGTTGAAACAGAGATCTTTATCAAATCTTTTTTAATATTTCTTTATAGTGAGTGAAGAATCAGAATACTTGAAATTCTTCTTTACTTTCTTTACACTGAAGTTATCATGATACTGTTTAGATTCTGTTATTAATTACTTAGAAGAAGTTTTATTGATCTTTTTCTCAGATAATTAATTATTTAAATAGATCTGAGAAGCTAGATTAACAAGCTCAGTGCAATTGATTAATGAACTTTGATATTATAATATTATTATTCACATCTTATAAGTCAGCTTTGTAAGATAAAGCTGTGTTTTTAATTAATTCAAATTATCAGTCAGTTTCTCTCAATATTCTTTAAATCTTACATTGAAATTGAAAGAATTCTCATCATCTTATTAATATAATAAGTTAAACT